TAATTATCGGACACAATTCGATGCGGATGGACCCAGTCAAGATCAAGGGTGTGATGGAATGGCCGGAACCAAAGAGCGTCAAACAGGTCCAAGCTTTCCTTGGATTCACAAACTTCTATTGGTGCTTTGTCCGGGGATATGCGGAGGTTGCCAAGCCGTTGACACGGTTGACAGGAAAGGCAGGATGGGCATGGGGTGCAGATGAACGTGCAGCATTTGATGGGTTGAAGAAGAGAATTGCGGAGGATGCGGTCTTAGCACTGCCAAATGACACTGGCCAATATCGTCTGGAAGCCGATGCTTCGGAAGGGGCAACAGGATCCGTTTTGAGCCAAAACCAAAACGGCATTTGGCGCCCAATCGCATTTATTTCGCACACATTGACCGAAACCGAGCGAAATTACGAGATCTACGACAAGGAAATGCTCGCAATCATGTTATCGCTCGATGAATGGAGGCAGCTGCTCCTGGGAGCCACGGAAACGTTCGAGATCTTCACCGATCATCAGAATCTCGAGTACTTTCGGAAGCCGCAGAAGCTCAATCGACGGCAAGCACGATGGATCACGGAGTTGGCGGAGTTCGATTTCACCTTACGACACCGGCCCGGCGCACTCAATCGCAAAGCGGATCTCTTATCTCGACGAGCGGATCACGATCAGGGCAAGAATGACAACAAGGACGTCACGCTACTGAAGCCCGAGTTCTTCCGATCACAAGAAGTCACATTCGAGGGACAGGATCAGCAGCTAATCGATGAAATCAAGGCCATTCGATCAATTGATGGAAGCGTCAAGGCGGCCTTGGAGAAGTCACTCGTCGGATGGAAGAAGGAAGAGGGGCTTATCACGTATCATGGGAAGCTCTATGTACCAGGAGACGAGGAGTTGCAGGACAAAATCATCGGACTACACCACGACACCCCTTTGGTCGGACACGCTGGGATCTACCGAACGCAGGAGATGGTGGAAAGGAATTACTGGTGGCCAAGGATGGGAAACCAAATCCGGAAATACATCCAGACATGCGAGGCGTGCCAGCGGACCAAGACCAGGAGAGCAAGGACAGGGAGTCTACACCCGCATGCAGTCCCAAACGCGCCGTGGGAAATCATCTCCATGGATCAGATCGGACCCTTGCCGGTCAGTAACGGGTATGACGCAACTCATGTGTGGTGTGACACCTTCACCAAAATGATCCATGTCGAACCAATTAGTACTGACATCAGCAGCGAAGGAGTGGCACGATTAACCAGGGACCGAGTCTTCCGCTACCACGGGATCCCTTGCAAGATCATCACCGACAGGGATTCGCACTACATCAAGGGCTTCATGAGGGAGACGAATCGGATGTTGGGCGTGGAAATGAACCCGGGGACCGCATATCACCCGATCACGGATGGGCAGACAGAACGCATGAATCAGGAGATCGAGCACTATCTCCGCATCTACGTCAATTACCATCAGACGGACTGGTCGGAGTGGCTGGGAATGGCGGAGTTCGCATACAATGACAAGATGAACACGTCTACCAAAATATCGCCATTCTATGCGAATCATGGATATCACCCGTGGAAGGGAGTGGAACAACGGATGGAGTCAAGGAACGAGTCGGCGGAGGAATTTGTAAAAAGAATCAAAGAAATACAAGACGAAGCAAAAGCAGCACTAGAAAAAGCAAAAGAAAAAATGAAAAAATACTACGATAAACAAAGAAAAGAAGTTCCGGAGTTGAAGGTTGGGATGAAGGTGTACATAGAAGGGGAAAATATCGAGACGGATCGACCATCGAAGAAGATGAGCGACAAGAGATTAGGACCATACGAGATACTGGAGAAGGTTGGAGCGGCCGCATGGAAACTGGATTTGCCAGACACGGACCGAAGGCATCCGGTGTTCAACGAGTCACTGTTGACACCCTATCACGAACCACCCCCCCATCGCCGAGAGAAGAGGCCTGTAGCCAAGATGATCGGAGGAGCAGAGGAGTGGGAAGTCGAAGAGATTGTGAAAGAGCGAAACGTCGGCCGAGGAAAACAGTACTTGGTCAAATGGAAGGGCTGGCCGCATAGCGAAAATACTTGGGAACCGTCACGTCACCTTACCCACGCAAAGAAGGTCCTGAGAGATTGGCAGAGGAAACAATCCAACCCAGACACACACATTCGCCTCCTGCCAACGCTCGAAGCCGGACATTGGGACTATCTCATCCATCGCTACAAACCCAGAGACGAACGCCTTCCATACCCGCAACGACAACTCTTCGACCCTTACGACAACGTCTTCACACCCATTGGCCTAGTCGATGAGGACATCGACCCTAGAGAGGGGGTAATGTCATAATTCGGCCACTTTTTAATCTTATCTTGGCACGACTTATCTTATCACGGCATCAGACGGTCCGGGCTAGGGGTTCTAGGGATTATCTTTATCGATCCAAGGCTGCGCGACATATGCTCCAGAAGGTTCTACTACAACCCATGACCAGTGCTCCATGCGGTACATAGCCTTATGACTCATTAGTTGTAGATATGACTCAGACTGGACTTGGGTATAAATACTGTAGCTACTTGGTTGTATTCTCCAGTCTTGGAATTCACTTCTCTTTTCGACTTGTTTTTTTGGGTTGATTGTCACACTGCTTCATCGATTCACGCTTGATTCGAGGTTTCTTGATTCTCCCACGCTTCAGAAAATGTCAGAATCAAATCTTGAATCAAGGATTGAATCAGCCCCGAATCAGCTACTTTGACTGCCCCTATTTTTAGGATGCTTTTGCTGTCTGAAGCTGCGTTTCCTGCTCGATGAAGTCTCTTTCCCTACCAATCCGAAATTAGATTCTTTGCATGTTGGATCATTCTATATTGGTCACCGCTACAATTGATTTCTCCGAGTGGTGAATCTATCGTTCGCCTCTCGTCTGGTCATAGGAATTGGGATTTCATAATCAAGACCGAAAACTTTTTTTGCACTTGATCATGCGGAGAGTTATTTTCCTCGCTAGAAAGCACCTCACTCAAAGTTATCGAGCGTGCATAGAGTCCTTGTTCTCAAAAAGTACAATTGCATCCGAAGCGAGCTAGCGTCCAAAAAAAGTACAAGGGAGGGTGGCAGATATTACAAAGCGCGTACGGACTCGTCCCATTTCACGGCTTTCAATCTGAATACACGCCCTCTCCATAGCTATGTCCAGCACATTGCGCACGCACGACCTCGAACGGGATCCATTCTCCGCAGTCACGACAGTACTTGACTTCAGCGGACAGAACAATCCGTTCAATGTCGCTCTGACGCGGGGTCTCGTCGCCCGCACGCTTGCGGCTCAGGACGGTGACGCGCTGGGCGACGGGAATCTGTTTGCCACCTAAAAGCTTCGTGTGCTTGTCATTCGGCGGCGGGACCGAAACAGTGAGGTGGTAGATGCAACCCTGCGTGACGGAGAGGACCAGTGCGTCACGGATGAGCGCGGGAGTCAGATGGGTGTCGCGAAACGACGCGTCGGTGAGGATGGAGGTCGGAATTTCAAATGACCCGATGAGATATTGTTCAAAGGGGCAGGTTCTCGCGGCTGAGAATTAAACAGGTGAGCAACCATGATTACCGCTGGGCAGAATGCTGGATAGAACACTCACTCCATTGAAAGGAAATATCGACGGAGTAAGCTGTCTGGTCGAGTCGCATGCCACCTTCCAAGAAGAACTGGAGCAGCCGGCCGCGATCGTCCTCCAGCACTGTGCGGGAGGATGTGGCAACGCGAAATTTGGTTTGCGCGCAGAGCTCTTCCAGATCACTCAAAAGTGGCACGCTCTGGAGATATGCTACGCAAGCAGCTTTCGCGCTAGTCTCTTCTGCAGACGATGCCACTGACGAGATGGACTGCACCAGGCGGGGAGAAGTGTCGAAGATATCTGAGAGCATGTTGGTTGAGGACGGGAAGGAAGAAGGTGAGCTCGAACAATACCCGTCGAGCATTCAAATACTCCTCAGCTGGGGACCGCTTTGCATGAGAAGCCAGACGCGCGGTGCAAAGCCATCGAGCGAGCCATAATGGAAAAGGAACGCGTGGAACGGTCACTCGATTTCGTCACGGTCCAGTCATGCAAATGACAGGAAGAAGCAGGTGTTTTTCCTGGCAGCGCTGTACAAAGGCTTGTTATCCATTGTCGCAGACACCGCTGAGTAGCAGAACCTTGATGGATGACGAGATAGAGATGAGGCTGGATTACGTGCTGCGCGGCTGGCGGTGTGAGAGTTTGGAATCCCGGTAGACAGAAAGCGGTGCGGTGAGAAATACACGTTTTGTGATTTCCCATGGGTTTTCGCGTTCTTACGTTCACGCTGGCTGGGCTGCGAACGGACGCCAGAAGCTCAGTATTGAGATACACACAAGCCCTTTCACACCGCAAGAAAAGCCACTCCACGGGGTGCGAGAGATGCGCACAAAGCCAAAGCGTCGGACTCAGTAAATGGACCCTTGACAGGGCGCATGTGCTCCCAGGATGAGTTTTGAGCACGAGGAGATAACGGGAGGTGTATTGCCTCATTGGGTCATGGCGGGGGATCAGGCTGCGCGTTGGGCAGGGTGGGGAGCATTTAGAAAATCCGTGGAAAATGGTGGTTTCAAGTAGACGGCGAAAAATGTCAAAAGGCTTCAGCGGCCGTGAAAACGGCGGTAAATTTATCACGAGGACCAAATTCAGGATGCGTGGCATGTCCAAATTTGGTCATGGTTGATCCGACGGTGATGTGATGGCATCAGCTGCCATCTCATTCGACCGCCGTGCTGGCGCTCTGACAGGACACTATCCCACACCTTCCTCAAAGAATGACGAACGCCTGCCAACTCGGTCTTGGGCGCGTCGGAAAGCAGTTGGCTCGAGCTCTCCTTGCGAAACCAAGAACGTGCCCCTATCCATCCCATGGATCCTTGTAGGTCCTTGTTTGCTTCCAAATTCTCCGGGTCGTCAATTCGACGCCAAAGCGCTGGTGCGCAAAAGTGCTCTTGTTCTCGATCCGGATACACAGTGCAGTCCGCTGGCTACATACAATTACAATTGCTCTCTCATTATCCGCCATCCACTCCTCCCCGCTACAAGTGCCTCCCACACAAGGCTCGACTCAGATGCACGCTATACGGCACAAACGACCGACACCCAGCGCGCTCGCAAGGGCGCATCAGCCGTGACGTAATGGTCTTCACCGAAACTATCTTGCCCGACCCCGCCGTTGCGTTTTCCTGCGCTGGCCGGTAGCGGTACAGGACGACCGACTGCTCGCAACACGACTCCCAGGCACCCGGAGGCATGAACAGGCTCTGGGTTTGCACTGGGCCAAGGCAGTAATCGAGGAAGAGGAGCGCGGAGCTGCGCAGAGAGCGGATAAGGGCCTCGAGGACGAGGTCGGTGCTGATGTTCACCGCGCGGTGAACGTCCTTGGAGATGGAGTGGAGCACGCGGAAGGAGGCGACCGGGACGGCAGTGGCACCACGCTCGTCTAGAGAGCAGCAGCAGTCAGCCATCATGGTACGTGGGTCTGTTGCCGCGCCTGTGCTTACCCCATTGAACGCTGAGCGTCCACCCAGTGCAGCGGTCTTGCGTGTACTCGCCCCGCGCGATGTCGATTGCGAAGGACATCCCTTGGGTTAAGATGCGGTCCCGGAAAACGGCTGTAGTTTCCGGAAAGGCGTGTGGTAGGCGGCTAGAGACACCTCCGGAGGCGGGGCTTATGAATACATTGATTTCGAACTCGGTGCGCCTGAGTTCGGTCATGTAAGTCACGAGGATCTCATTGGCACCACTCGCGTCGGCGAACGACGTGGTGCGGGGCTCTGGAAAGCGTTGGACGAGGACAGACATCTGGGGCAGCAGAGGAAGCTGGTGGCCCTTCATGGCCGCGAGGCGGGGGTATATAACTGGGTGTTCCTGCGCTATGGCCCTCGAGATGACGAGCCCAATTAGGAAAGTCCAGACATCTGTCAAGTTCTAGTAAAGCGCAATTCAAAGAAAATGAGAAGCTTGATGAGCGGAGCGCACGACGATCTGCTGCAAACCTCCTACGAGAGGAACTCGTCGCAGACACCTGTGCAGTGGTTTTCCCGTGAGTACAAGCACGTCGGCCACCGCCTGAGTGTCGACGGCGGGGCCGACAAGAGATCAGCCCTGCCTACCACAAACGAGAAGCATGACGTGACTATCTGAGAGGGTTGACACGGAATTTGCTCATGGCCTCCGACCGATGCCCATGATTCTATCATGTCGAAAATGAGCGATGCGAATCAGGAAGAAGCCAGGGAGGGCTACTGGGGTCGACCGTCGAAGCCGACATTCCAGACGTGGTACATCACTGAATATCTTGCTAGGAGAGAAAAACTAATGCTGCCAGCGAGTACCAGCAACCACGTGAAGTGGATGAGTGAAATGCACATCCAAGAATTAAATGACGTCGTGGATCATTGTCTCACGTGAGACTGGGTCCCCGGGGCTTCATCTGATCAGTCATTCACTTTCTCAGGATCAGTCTACCTCCCGAACGGCCTCGAGTCAGTCTCAGGGGGAAATCGGTTTCAATGATTACAAACCTGGGCGCATCCCTCTTTCGCGCCCTGGCTTCACTGGAACCCATTGAGCTCAGCAACATTGCAAAGGAAACTTGTCCACGGCACTATTGCCCACCCCAGGGACCTCCAATTATGACGTAAAATGGCTTCGAGGCCCCCTCCGGAGGCCATCAAACCACCCCCTACCCCCCCTGATCAGAGGCCATTCTGGAGGCGCCTTCCTAATTGGGACGCTGCCTGGCCATTTGTCCACAGCCTGCATGGTACTCAGGCGTAGGCTGGGGATTGGCCTTGGTACTGATATATGCTTCAGTAGTCATTATTAAGTCTCAGAAACTGTCTTAGCTCCCAGAAGCCTGTATTTACTGCTCGCAAACGGTGGGCCACTGGGCACCCAAAATTTGGGATTTGAGCGCATTAGCATGGCCCAAGTGTATGAGGCAAGGGGATGTGTATTCCTGCGAGATCAAGCATGAAAGACTGGCGTCTGCATACAAGATTGAAATGTTATGCAAGGGAGGGATCACGGCCTCCATGACCTCCCAGGGTCAGAAAGAAAAGGCGTTGGGTAGCCCACAGGCACTTGAATTACCTTCAGTAGATCAATTTGACACTTATACTCTCTAAAAACAACAGTCAAGCACGTAGATCTGATGCCAGCACTGATAGCAGATATGGCCTCCACGGCCTCCACAGCCGGGCACGAAACGCGGTTAAAAAGCGGTCATCGTGGATCCAGCCGCACGAGACATGTCTCTAGCATACCAAGTCCTCTTCTGGATGATGAAAGTCCTCCCGCTGGGCGGCCCAGCCGGTAGATCTGATGCGGAAAAAGGTACCTCTCGAGGTACAAATGTGGGGTGTCCAAGGTGGGATGGGCACATAATCAAGAAAGAGGAGATGAATGGTTGGCCATATGGTATGCCCATAGTTCTGTCGCAGATTGGCTGCATGAAGAAACTTGAAACACCTTGAATGCACCGTCCAGAATCCAATCATGTCAGATGTAGTCTTGTCTGACAAGGGAGCAGCAAGAAAGTTGTCCAGCTCCTGCTCTTCCGTCCAGCCCGATGGATTCTCAGGACGTCTCTGAGCGGTCAGAACAATGGCAGCGTTGGTGAAGGAGGTCGCATTCTTCCTGAACCAATCTGCAGCTGCCATGATGTTGGTTGCAGCCGGAGCTTTGGTTCGCGATCGCTGTCGTGTCGGCTGTGGAACTGGCTGTGGTGCTGCACCCGTGCCCGGTTGCACAAGACGGGCATTGCGCTGGCGGTACAGACGCATCTGTGTTGAGTCAGAAGCATGTCCCCATGAATTTAATAAAATAGATCTTCTTCAGTTGAGCCTTTGCTGGCCAGACATTCCATCAAATAAAATACTGTGTTGCACAACAGTAGTGTGATTGGGTGTGGGAGCTGAGCCCGGGGCGCAAAGCCGGCGGGGTGCGGATGACCCCGCAGACTCTGCTCTACTGCTGGAAAAATCAAACAGGCTGTGGGTGGGTGGGTGAGCGCAGAAATGGGAATTTGTCAAGGATGAGATCGCCGGCAGGTGGGTGGAAGGAGAGAGTGACCTCACAGCCACCCCCTGCTCTTCGGCTCTCTCCCTCACAAGATGATGCATTGATCTCCTTCTCTCACTCAATGCATCCATCTTCTTCAGTTGAGCCTTTGCTGGCCAGACATTCCATCAAATAAAATACTGTGTTGCACAACAGTAGTGTGATTGGGTGTGGGAGCTGAGCCCAGGGCGCAAAGCTGGCGGGGTGCGGATGACCCCAAAATGTGCTGCCCAGCCAGAACAACACCAGCTCACCCAAAAGAAAGCAGCACAGCTTGTGTGTCAGTAAAGTATGCACGATATGCACGCCGGAAAATGTGCAGGCTATGCACAGTACACAATATGCGCATGTGCAGGCTATGCACCGTCAAAAATGCACGATAGGCAGTCGAATTATCCATGATATGCACGCCGGCAAATGTGCAGGTTATGCACCGTCAAAATATGCATGATATGCAGTCGAGATATGCACGATATGCACCCAGGAAACAACGCAGGATATGCGCAGCGCATGATATGCGCAATTCTTGGCTAATGAACGTCAAAGTATGTACAATATGCACGCCGGAAAATGTGCAGGATATGCACAGTGCACAAGATGCACAGATGCAGGCTATGCATTGTCAAAAATGCATGATATACACCGCAGGAAAACGCAGGATATGCGCAATTCTAGGCTAATCAAAGTCGAAATAGGCGAAATATGCAAGCCGGAAAATGTGCAGGCTACGCCCAGTGCATGAAATGAGCATGTGCAGGCAATGCACGGTCGAAAAATGCATGATATGCATGCTGGAAAATGTGCAGGCTATGCACCGTCAAAAATGCACGATATGCAGTTGAAATATGCACAATATGCACGCCGGAAAAACGCAGGATATGCGCAGCGCAGGCTATGCACCGTCTAAAAATGCACAGAGTGCAGGGCAGCAACATGCATGATATGCACAGAAGCAAAGACACTGGAGATGCGCAGCAGAGATCATGCAAAATATGCACAAGAGTGACAACTCACTAAATTCGAAGTAATTATTGACGCTATGTGGCCCAGGCCAGCGGCTGGGTCAAGACCAACGGTCCAGAATGAGCTGAGACCATAGAATGTCCCTGCAGCGTTGTTAGACAACGCCAGGAACCCAAAAGAAACGAAAATATGCGATAATATCGCACCAAGTGCGATTAAATTGCAGGATTTGAACGCCCAATAAGAATGGGAGGGAAACCCGAATAAGAGCGGAATTGAAGCGAAGAGGTGTCTCCAGCATGCAGGGCTTGGAAGTCAGACTGCTGGAGCGGATGCGCAGGGAGAAATCGAAGGAATCAAGTGGGAATATCACTGAGAGGATCCCAGGGTTGAGAGCTTGGGTGGGAAGGAAAGGAGAGGGTGATGAGGGGTGGGGGATGTAGAGGGCGTTGTCCTGATGTCAGAATTGGGTCAGAAAACGTCGCTCTTGTTGAGCTCTAATTATAAAAGGAGGTCGAAGTACTCATCTCCATGGATGGGATGGGGCTATAGCCCTAACAAAGCTCTCAAATCGTCCAAAATTTCGAAATTGAGATGGAATCCATTGTGCAGAGATTAATGCAGACATTGAGGACTTCTGGGCGTTTCACAGTCGAGGAAAACAATGAAAGGGTGTGTAGAAAGAGCGCAGAAATGGGAATTTGTCAAGGATGAGATCGCCGGCAGGTGGGTGGAAGGAGAGAGTGAGCTCACAGCCACCCCCTGCTCTTCGGCTCTCTCCCTCACAAGATGATGCATTGATCTCCCTCTCTCACTCAATGCATCCAACTGACCCGTTCAAAGACAAGTTCGCGAGCTTCCTCTTGTTGAAGCGGGGACCAGTTTTGTGTGATCCAAAGGAACTTGATGGTAGGATTGATCACTGGGATAGACTGTGATTGATTGCACTGGAAGAGACTTATTACTCACACATTGCGATCGCGTATGCCGCGGTGTCCTTCATCAAGCCATGGTACTTCTCAGCTATGACCAGGCCTGGCTCAATGATCTCGTCAAGGCCCTCGGCTGCCAAAAGATTGTCCTTGCACATAGCCTCCCAAGCCGAAATGAACAGTTCATACGCGGGAATTGCCTCCGCCATCATGGGAGTGCCTTCCCATGCCATTACAGTCTGGACCACATGTGGTTGCTGAAACGTTTGTGAGTTTCATCTTCGAGATAACAACAGATACACACACCTGAAGGACTAATTCCAACAGCTCGAGACGGTTCCAGTGCTGCGTCTCAAGCTTGTGTATAAATTGCTGGTGCTTGGGACTTGAGGTGAAGTACTTGATGACAGGCTGTGCACATGAACAATCAGACAGATTTTGATATCCAGACTGTGCGAGACGTACCTGCTTCAGGTATCGAAGCCTTTGAAGCATATAGAACATGGAATCCCAACGTGTCTTGACATCCGGAAGGAGTTGGACGGCCTTGAGCTCCACGTGGGTCATAGCATTTTCGTTCTTCTCCAGCCACAACTGTGTCTTGTTTCCTTCCTTGATGACATCCTCCAGAGCATCCCAGCGCTGACCAGACTTTTGAACATATGCAACGGTCTTCCTCGCACGACGAATCGGTCCAGCCTTGCATGTCCTTCAAATAGGCTGTGCGAGGACATCCCCCTTGTCATCTGAAACCGCCGTTTTGGTCCCCGAATTGGTAACCGTCTCTTCAGCATTCCTCCTGTCAATCTTCTCCATCGCTTTGTTGACTGCCTGAGAGCATAGGTTGATGATATGCGAGAAACATCGCACTTGACGGTCCGCCGCTTTGAATGTCGAGTCTGGGACAATCTCAACAATCTCCTCTTTGAGATGTTGCATGAACAAAGTGTTTGATGAGGCGTTGTCCATGGTGAAATGCCCGGCCTGAACAATGACATGTAAGCGGGCAAGTTGCAGTTGAGTCATGTGACGTACCTTCTCAACAATGCCTGCTGCGGACAGGATTTGAATCATGATCCGTGCAATCCGTGTTCCACTATGAGATCCACGAACGCGTCGAAAAGCGAGGAGAGCATGGCGTATGTAATTAGCCTTGGTCTGACCATTGCGAGCCAGCCAGTGCAACGTCACGGCGAGATACGGATACATCCCCTTGCTGCTCCAGAGATCAAGTGTGAAGCTGATCTCTCCAAGCAAAGACTAGGTTTGTTAAAATCAGCGGCCCGTGAATCAAATCATCAACGAAGATGAACGCACCTGCAAGGCTTGCTTCAATGACCCGTAATATGTCTCCCATTGAACAATAATTGCAACATGAAGGGTGGTACGATGAGGGATTTGGCTGTCAAGAAGTGATTGGTTCAGGAGCAGCATTAGATCCCGAAACTTGCGGTTGTTGATGAGATTGAGAGACTGGAACACTGTAAGTATTGTTTGAAACACCAGTGGCTTTGTCTGCTTACCAAATCGTTTGCCACAATAACCCGAATGATCTGCAGGACCAGCGCCTTGATGCTGAACGGAGTTCTGGATTTACCGCCGTCTGTCTTTGCAAGCGCCTTGCGGAGTGCTTCGGGACTCTGGACTCCCATCCACGTTCCCGGAGGAGGTCAAAAAAGATGGTCATGTGCCGCTTGATCAGATGCTTGCGACAAATGGAGGTACTGGTGCCGTGCTGATAGACAGTACTGTGATCAAGTAAGTCACATAGTAGAAGTACTTAGATGCGCAGAAAAGGACGTACGTGCATAGGCTGCACAACCAACATTGAGTCTCGGTGTGCTCTCCCCAGAAGTACTTGAGCTCCGGACAGGGATCCTGCGCAATCACCTCCTGCGGCGCCCAAGCCACACCATCCGCATCGATCCAATACCCAACCCATCTTGAGTTGACTGAAGAATTGGGAGCATGGGTTGTGCGCTGCCGTGGAGCATGGGCCGGCTGTTGTGGAACACGGGTTGCTTGCCTTGAAGGCTGCCAAGTACGAGCTTGAACCGTCTGCAAACTTTCCACGGCAGGACAAGGCTGAGAGAGAGGCAGCTATTAGAAAGGAAAGACAACTAGGACACAACATCCACTCACGCGATTGAAGCCAACATCATCCTCATTGTCCGAGTTCACAACAAATCTGACATTTTGAGGCCCGTGTCGTTGCCGGCGTGGAAGGGGAGATTCGGGGTCATCGAGGAAGGGATTGTTATCTCATCGTTGTTCTCAGCATCCTGATCATCTGTGCTGAAGGTGCCCCGCCCATCTCCCTCATCCTCTGCCTCATCACCAGGTAACTCGTCCTCGTCTATATCAAAAAGACTCCGAGGACCAGGGGTTAGAACAATTGCTTGCAATGGTCCCGCATGCGAGGCAATTCAACCGGTGGCGCGTTGCGCAGGCGTGGCAGTGAGTGGTTGTGGATTCAAATGAGCAGGTAGCTGAGTTGTGGGAGGAGAGGGTGTGCGTTCTGCTGGCTCCGGATGTGAGACAGCATTCTGGTATCATGTTGTCAGGGGATTGGGGCTCCATCGACGCTGGAATCACTCACAGCAGCCGTACAACTGTGTGATGACCGCGGCAACATTTGAAGGCCCTCCACAGGTCGTATCATTCTGGCCAAAGGCTGCAAAGTACGTCAGCTACAGTAGACCCAGGCCCGAAGATAGACACAATAACACCTACATTGAATGGCTGAGTATCCTGCCGCCGCTGCCTCTGCGTTATCGACACCAGAGCGCGACTGATTTCTTGTCATAGATTGAGTCGGTTGAGTTTCTTGAGAAGCGGATGGAATGGCTGAATTTGGCGCGGTGCCGCCTCGCCCGCGTCGTTGACTGGCCATTGGTGGAGGACTGGATGCTGACTCCGATGAGTTCAAGTTTGAAAGTGAAGATGAAAGAGAGATACGCACCAGTCTGTCCACGAATACGATTACACCCCTGCATCAGATACAGAGAGACCCAATCCCTAATTCACAGCGCGCAGGAGCCCTGAGTAGCTTAAATACACGTTCCATCATTGTCATGACGCCTCCGCACGTTGGTTGTCAAATCCGAGTCCGACGCTTTACTGGTGAGGAAATTTTCGGTGCACAGAACACTGGCGTGTCGGGATACTTGAGCAAATGGGTCGGCTGTTGGACGGCGTTGGCGAGGTTCAGATGTAGGTGTCAACTCGGCGGGGAGAAAGTTTACTCGTGCTTGTTGCGGCATCTCAACTAAAAGCCGTGACTTTAAGCTTGAGATCAGCCTTATTTTCCGACATTCATACCCTGAGACCGTCCTTTATACTCGAAAATGCTGTCCACGCCTGACGACTCGCCCTCCCCTCTCTTTCTACCATGTCTGAGGCACTCGACACACCAGAAACAATCCCAAAACCCGACGGTTTCTCCAACATCATTGCCCATTTGAATGACCAGAATGCCGTGCGTGGTTCAGAGCATATCTCGAATGACGCTCACCATGTAATCAGAATGCACTTGAAGCCTTTCCCTTTGCAATTTGGGCCACCTTCTCCACCGAAACACACATCATTATCTCCGAGTTCTCGAGCATCTGTCAAGCCATCGATCCTGAGTTGCATGCTCGTTTACTCATCTCGAGTGGACCGAAGGGGGTAGTTTTTCGCGACGGAGAGGAGGTAATCCAGATAGAAGTAAGCACTGCACGTATGTCACACGTTTGTATCTCTGAAGCTCACGGAAATTAGCATTTCCTCTCTCATCTCTACGCACGGATCTCATCCCAAACTCCGACTTCCACTAGGGCCCAGGTCCGCTGGAATGCTCAGCATACTCTTCGGGAGCAACTCACGCATCTGTTCAACACGTCCGCTCCCTCCAGAGACCCTTCTGACAGCGCAGACGACAAGGGAAGCCACGATAAGGGTCAAGAGCATGATAATGAGATTCATGAGCTTGTGGACACAATTTAGAGCTCAGATATAGTTGTATTCTGCTTCAATCTATCGTACAAAAATTATTCCAAAATTGTCCCCACTCCAAGCGACTGAGTCGGCTTTGAGTCATGTGGAGTCGCATCAATCAACTCGACTCCACTCGACTCCATACCCGACTCACTCCGCCACTCCGAGTCGCGGAGTCGGACTTTCCGGCAACATTACTAGGCAGGTGGTGAGATAGGTCGACATGTCCTGGGAGAAATAGTTGACTCACGGCATGAATTGTCACCAGTCGATGACAGGAGGGATCGCTCCTGGGACAGCTGATTCAGAGACGGCTGATGGATGGTTAGCGCGGTTGAAAAGTCGTGATAATTGCCTCAGGCGTCGCTCACGGTTGTTGTCTTGGGGGCAGGGGCTCTGGTTGGGCGCGGGCATGGTGGTCAAGATGAAAGAGAGTCTTGCACTAGGGAGACTCTTGACCCTGAAAATTAAGGGAATTTATACGGTGAACATGCTGAAAGAAGCTTGATTGCAGCAGATCAGGGAGGGAACCAAACAGCCAAATGAATAAGACGTGGGAACATAAGTCTATGTCTCTGCGGCTTTAATAATAAATGGATGAGACGTCGAGTATTGGACTTAGACCTGAGGCAGTGAGACTGTCGCGGGTTGACCAGGAGGTCAAAATTAGTGTTCCTGGGAGATGATAGGATGGCTACCAGACGCGCTCTGCACCAGCTCTGTAAGGGCGTATTTTTGCGCTTTTTACAAAGTTTACTCTTGAACCACTCGGTGTATCGTGTCGCGGTTGACAGTGTTGCGCTCAGTAGGACTTAAGGGTCTACTGCCCAGTCGACGACTGTGGATAGTGTCGACGATAGCAAGGCAGTCAGACCACTACTGTGGAATTGGTCTTATGGGTCTACACCAGGCCCAGGGCTATTAGTGACAAACACTTGGACCGCGACAATTCCCCAAAAAGGGATCTTTGTTGCGGCGACTTCTCAAAAAGGGTCATTCTCTGCAGATGGGAACTTGGGCTGAAGGGCTGAGCAATGTGCGACGTTCTCAATGATACAACTACTACTGGACAGGACTTGGCGTTACGAGATTTAAAACCATCTTGTCGCGGCAACTCCCGGTTTTGAGTTGGATGTTTCCTCAGATCATGCCACGACGACGACTTGTCACATGTCAGGATCCATTCGATCACGGGACATTGTGGACACGTCGCGGTGACACTTCCAAGTGTCACGGCGAGTCGCGCCCATACCCAAATACACTAAGACCGACACGGCTAGATCCGTGAACCGAGCCATGTGAGGAACAACTGGCGTGCCTAGGGCCATACGGCTTCTCAGGGCACCCACATTGGACTCACTCGCCAAGACATACCAATTGGCCAATCCAGCGGGGTCCTGCTCATTCAGGATACCATAAAAAGCAATCGATCTTCGATAGCGTAGCTACTATGCAGTTGTACAGGACTTTACTAAGCATTGTCGTAGACAGTATAAGTAGCGCGTTGTTTCTTTGTATGAGGGAGCTTTCCCCCGGACTGTGAATCATTCTCATATCAGATTATTTTGTGTGATTTGCGTGTTGCGTGATTCCACCCTAAGAAGTTCTGTCACCCCTGCCCGGTCGCAACGAGTTGCTCCCTGAGCACTTGTAGCTACTGTGATTTGAGTTTGAGTTGAGATATCAGAAAGTCGGATTCGCCACATCTGGTTTAGTCGCGGCATTTAGTGTCATCGCCTTCGGGCTTTGTTGAGATCGTTCCACATCTCTAGTTTGGCAGTGCGTCAACTAGTTGTGCTTGGGTAGTTTTGGTCAGTTGGCAGTGCGTTGACTTGAGAACTTTGGTTCCACACTTCTTGCTTGGCAGTGCGTCGACAAGTTGTGCTCGGGTTTTGGACATTTGGATATTGGCTGTTAGTTGGCAGTGCGTCGACGTGGCATTTTGGTTTTACTAGTCGGCAGTGCATTGACTCAGTACTTTGGTTGTCTCAGTTGGCAGTGCGTCAACTTGACATCTTGGTTCTACTAGTTGGCAGTGCATCAACTTAGTATATTGGTTGTATCGGTTGGCAGTGCGTCGACTTGATATTTGGGCTTTGCGTTACCATCTGGATGCTGTCGCTACAAGGGATCTTAATACTTCGTATTAAGCTCTGACTTGTGATATTGTTGGTTGTGGTTGGATTAGTGTTGGTTTTGGTCGTATAGAAGATATTGGTTGAGACACCACTGTTTGCTATATATAAATTCTTGTCGTCGACTTCGTCTTCTGCGACTATTGGATCTGTGTCTATTGAGAGTTGTGATACTGGTGCTCTGTCCACCCCGAAGCCCTCGCATCTTTCACACACTAAGAAGCTGATTACGAGGAGTGTGAACGTGTTTATATTTGGGTTTACTTTCATAGTAGATTCACCTGTGAGCGCGCCCTCAGCATTTCACCAGGCAATGTGGAGATGAACTCCTCAAGCAGATATGACTTTGCCAACGTGGTTGCATTCACAATGCTGCTACCTGCAACTGGTTTGTGCACAAGTGTAAGGGCAACCTCGAGACCCGATCTCAGAGTTCTGGCAAGGGAGAATCCAAAGTGTCAATAGTGGTAGCTAGGTACAAGACCGGCATACCTGGCAAGGGAGAATCCAAAGAGAAACCGTGTTGGGGATTCTCCTTGCCAGGCGCCACTATTTATATGATACAAGAACAATAGAGCGCGCAGCGACAAACAAAGAACAATGGGAACAATAAGTACAATGGCCATTGGAGAACAATAGGAAACCGAGACAGTGGGAACGATGGGACAGCTGACCATGTGCCCATCAGAGAGAAGCGCTTGGCGCGGCAGTCCGGGCCGCGGCGCGTGACAGCTGACAGGTCACACGAGCGCAATCACATGCCTGATCAAAGGCAGAGCGGTCCGAAGCGGGGGTTCCCCTGACAGTTCCCCTGACAACAAGTGCCATAGCAGCATCAACAAAACAGAGAGTGGGAATGTGCAAGTCCAATGGGATCTCTGCCCCAAAGTTGCAGACCTGATGTGTCCCATAAGACAGCGTGGCATTGAATAGCCCATACAACCATAGGAGGAGATTGGCCTCACACATAATCTCCGTGTACTTGTTGCAGGGTTGCAAACAAGTGAGGGTGCCCTGCCATACTAGGCCTTTGTTGGTGAACATACGCTTCACCGCAACTTTCTGATTGGCCACAAAGCCCAAACCCAAGTTGGACAATCTGTTCAGGGTCAGCCAACCCAGATATGTGTCCTTGAAGCTGCCAACGCCAAGACGGTTGGTGAGATCTGTTGTAAGAGATCCTATTTTCGACTTTGCAAAGTCACATACAAAGTAACAAGCACCTTCCCCAGCGGTCCCACCCCCCAGAAGCTCCTTGAGCAAATGGAGTGGGATATGGAAAATGTGGACCGACTCAGTTACCGGGAGTCCTAGAACTTAGAAGTAATGATCTTCAGCAAATTGTCAAGAAATAGAAATGATCATTGTACAAGATGCATTGATAATGGCCTGTCCAGACCTGCCCGCAACCAAAGCCTCTTGGAAACAATGTTGGTTGGGAGATTCGTGGTCAGGAAGGACCTGTTTGATGCTTCATGGTGGCGTTTGTGGCCATCTTTTGGTGCTTGAAGTCGTCACACTGTTTTGGATCTAGAGGCAATTACATTGACAGGATAGCACAACAGCAAGCAAAAATAACTTACCTCTGTGCTAAAAGTGGCAGGAACAAGTGGTCCAACAGTTGAACGCCAGGTCTGAAGATCATAAAAGTTAGTAAGCGAATGTACAGATCTTGAACTGGAACTGGAGAGTTCCTGTTTGTCCTCTGTTCCCAGAGCCGTGGCATGCATGAACTTCGAATTTGAGTCTTTATTCTTGCTTGGGCGAATTCAGCTCATCT